TTGAGAGGGAAACCTCCATAATAACATCCATGATAAAAATGAATAAGAATGGAGAGCGTGGGCACCTTTGACGGACACCACTCACGTACACAGCTCACATGACATCTCACCGTAAGCTCTAACCTGCCTGCATGTGTTCGAGTAAAGAGTCTTCAATAAGGCAATGTACTTACTCGGTAACCCTTTGAGTGAAAGGCATTGATATAAGACTTCTCAATCGATGGAGATGAATGCCACTCTCAGATAGAGAAACACAGCTGTTGTTGGGCGTAGGTAAACATCCCTGTGTATCAGAACCTAGACGAGTGTGAAAATTTAGTCACTCTGGTTGCTTTGGGCGGTGACCATAAGAAAAGTGACTTTCTGGATATGCATATTGAGTCCATTAAAAGGACAAGACTTAACATAGTAACGATATAAATTGAGAAATGTTGATACGCACATCATAAATAGTTATTTCCGAAAAACCGGATGAAATAGGCACACATGAAAGGGATAGAACTACAGGAAATTGTAAACACTTGGCAGCATACAACACGGAGTGATCCGTAATAATCGTTAAAGATGTCAAAGTATCAGAAATTCAGAAGTCGGATAAATGACGATTTTATAGAAATTCGCTCACCTAAGGTCAGATGAAAAGTAACAGAATAGGAGGCTGAAGATGGTATATTTTCCGTGTTTTACAAGTTTCCGTTTTTATGCTAACCCGTCATATTTAGCAATGGAAAACAATCCAGTCATTGGAGTGACTTTCAATTCCATGATAATTTATCAATCAGATGTACAAAACATTGAAATTGCATCATCCATTGGATAAGACTTAGAACAAAATCGAGTGTGCATATTAACACCAAAGAAACTTCATAACTTTGAAACATGATTCATATTATCCGAGTTCCTATTCTTCATTTACCAGAGGGGTAGTATAATTCTCCATCTATCTGGAACAGACGCCAAAATCATTCCGGTTATATGCATTTAATGTGGGTTTGATAAATGAAGATTCGCTATTCAATCTGTCTCTCTAATCAACCGAGTTCATTTCTAGGACTGCTATATTCTCTGAGTAAGATGGATTAGTTGCAAAGCTTTCATTGTTGCTCTAGACGACAACATCAACAAGAGCTTATAAAGTTCGTGCTTATGATGTTGTTGATAATGCTAATGAAAGCTTCGTGATTGGACGATCCAGCTCAGAGAACACACCACCAAATTCATCCTCCTAAGCTACAGCTATTCTCTATCATCTCACTGTCATTATATCCCATCATAATCTGTTGGCTTGTATGAGAGCATGGATAGATAAAGCGTATTATTATTATTATTTGTCACTTGGGTTACTAATAGAACATCCGGATTCACTAGAACACCTCCATTACACTCCCTTCTCTCAAATCTTTTCAACCTGGCTACACCACTACCCACAACCTCTCATTTCTTCCTCACACCATCTCCTCCATGTCAACCTCACCTCACACGCCAAACTCATCGTTTCCCATCTGGGTTCCACTCGAGTGCCCAGTCTGGCCTGATGAATGATGTCCCCAATCGGCCTCCTCAGTGTATGCTCAATCCCATCCATCTCCACTTCCTTCCACTGAATATTTGTTGAGTGATAGCCCCTTGGTTGATTCGTTGACAGCCAGCCAGTCACAATGAGTTCCTTGTTGCTTATTCTTATTATTGTGGCAATCCATCCGATTTTCAGTAAGAAGCCGGCGTAGGCCGTTGTTGATGAATGTCTGCAGTTGTTTGCTGGAAATCCCTCTCGTAACGTGCCAAGTCTCTCAGCCATACAGGAGCACTGACTTGACTGAATTGGTGTTGAAAATCCGAATCTTGTTCTTTGTGCTGAGTGCAGTAGATCTCCACCCTGGTTTCAGATTAATGAACGCCTATCTTGCTTTTCCGATCCTGGCTACTTTGACGTCCTCGTCTGTGTCATCACCGCATGTAGTTGAAGCGATGCTGCCTGGATAGGTGCAAGAGGCCAAGATAAAAAGCGTAGCTGACTCATTTTTACTATGGTTCACCCACCTTTAACTAGCTATGCTTTTATTTCCGGACAGGCTTATTAACCCAAGTTGACTACTTAGATGCATATATTTAACCTCGATATGAATATGAGCAATAAATTTTACCTGAAATACCATCTATTAAATAATATTTAATAAGTATGTACTATTTCAAATGATTAATCTGATATGCAGTCATATATATTCCACCTTGTATTTAACATAAGCTCTAATTTAACTATTTATCCAATGGAAATCGACTGCAGGCTTTTCCAGTATTTCTAACGGGGATTAACACATTTGTGTAGAAAGTTATACATTTTGAGATTACACTAGTAGATAATATGGACAGATGACGTTAGATAGCGAATCGCATATAGGGAAATTAATTGAAGATGGGAATTGTTGATCACTGAATCTCCATCTAATCGTCGAATGGAAAAAAAGACTAGTAGAAAAAAAAACATGAAATTCTGAAGATTGATTGCGTATAGTATACTCAGAGTATTCCCTCATGTTTCAAACGTGTTGCTTTAAGGTTTTCAATACCTTCTCTGAGCGATGCCAATCTGTAGTGAAATTCTCCTGTATCAATCAGTCTTTTCCTCAAAAATGATCCATTCAAAAGCATACTTTTATAACAAATGGTGATAAATTTCCTTTATTTTTGAAGACTAAGGGTAAACTTACAAATCTCATTCACATTCTACATTCACATAACTTCGCAGGTATTAATAAATAAACCTAGGCTATTCAAAAATAAAGGCGTAGATAGTTCAAGGACTATAGGCCCTCATAAGATGAGTAATGTAGACAAATGTTCTCCCCCTGACTATGCATGCAATTTCTTACAGTCACACGATATGATGGGATATAATGACATTCCTAGGAATGAACACAGTTGTTCAGAGGGAGAGAGATTGGACATTGAATCTTCATTTATCAAACCTATGCTGAGCGTATGTGATAGGAATGATTTTGGTGCCTGTTTCCGATAGGTGGAGAATTCTGCTACCTCTCTTGGAGCTCGGTGTAATATGAATCATGTTTCGATATTGTAAATTTTCCTTGAGGCTAGTAAGTATACCCGTTTGTGTTTGAAATGTTATCGAATTTTATTGTTTAGTGCATCCAATGGATAAATCATGATGGAATCACAAGTTGCCATAACGTCCATGTTTTAGTCTTGGAATCTTTAAGGCTTATTTACTTTTACCTTGTCTAACTGTTTAAATATATATCTTCTCAATATACTGGAGTTTTGATAGAGTTGTTGCTATCGTCGTCCCATCTTAGCTTTGGAACGGATCTTCAGAGGCAGTCCACGACTGACTGCCGAACCTGGTTGGTTGTCTATTAACCACGCAGCTGAAATCCCTTGGGCGCTACTATCTAACCGTGACGAGAGAAGAGCTGATACGAGCTGAGTAACGAGTAGAAATTATGTCTAGCCTAAGCGCGGATAACTCAAGCGGAGCACTCGATGCCATCCTTGCTAAGGAGGTACGAGTAAGTATTCAAGTCTTTGGTGCCTGTTGTTTACACTGTTTTCATGCATATACGCCTAATTTGGAGTCGTCTGTAAGGAAGATGACGTTTAGTTGACTAGAAAAGCTGGGAAAGATCTGGAATATCAAAGTAGCCTGTTTATGGTACCATTAGCTTTCAGAAACTAGGTGTGACTTAAAATCTGACACAGGAAGTGAAAATTAGTTGCTGAACAACATTATTTCTTTTTTGGGTCAACTTAATCGTTGTACATTCATAGTTATTTCTGTCACGAAATAAATATTCTTCACAATAATTAAGATAATATTAATGAATACTCCAGAAGCCTTATAATGGCTAAATAAAGAAATTTTTTTCAAAAGAATTTTCACAATTGATCACCATAATCTAGTTAAACTATTCAGCATTATAGAATTACTGAACAGCTGTTTCGTCCGAATTCAGTATTCGTCAACGACATATGACAAAGATATGATGGATGAAGCGTTGAGTTTAGAACGGTCAAGTCTTATAGTAGCCACCTTATTCTTTCCCTTACATGTTTTGCTACAGATAACCTTAAAAAAAGATTAAAACTCATTGGGATTTACTTCCAAGATTTTGTTGCGCACTGACACATAGCAACATGACCAATCATTTCAACAAAACTAATAACTTTCTCTAAAATTCATCATTTGAGGCCAAATTTCCAAGGAACTTGATATAAAGTCGTCGTAATGGTACTTTTAATTTCCCATGTTGCTATGAAGGACTGAGTCGCTCAACCTGTGTTAGCAGATGGCTTCCTATCCAGATGTCTCGATAGTGCTGGATATTCACGATGTAATATTGATCCTAATGACTAGGAGAGGAATCCAGGATCAGCGTTTCGTCCTATTTGGGACTCTTCAGTTGGACGTATCTGCACTCCAGGGCAGAGCGATGTTGTTCTCACTGAGACGTTGGAAGCAGCAGGTACTGGGTTCGAGCCTCACTAAGTTGTGGCATCTATATAATGAAGATTTCACAAACGTCTTGAACTTTTTTTTTTATATCAGAAGGCTAAGTTATCAATATTAAATTGTTTTTTATAGTCAAATGTTTGGCAGTTGAATCGTTTAGGATACTTTAATAACTGATGAAAGATAACTGGATGTAATCGAGGGGAAGCGACTCTCGACTTAGGATTCATGTTTGTTGGCACTTGTCACTCTGATGATAATGTTCCTGATTTCAGTAGTGAGTAAAATGGGTTCCAGTCCTCACACATGAGATAATAGTCCGTTAGAGGTTTCAGCTATGCCCTATTGAAGAGTGTCAAAGATGCAGTAAACCTGGGTCATGTAAAACTTCCTACCGATGGTCTCCAGATATATATCAACAGTTTGTAAGCCTAATGGTACCTAACAGAATTAATCCCAAAAGTATAAGTGCAATATAAAATTCTAATTAATTTCTAAAAAAAGCAATTCAAGCAATATATTATATTCTTACCGGCGCTGCATTATAGTTTTTTCGCTATCGTCAACTGTATCCTCGACTTCTGACTCGATATTGATTAAAGGTGCTTCAAATTGTGTTTTATGCATATCATTTTCATGATCTTCTCCTGGAATTGATAATTCTAGTCTAGGTGATGAAATTTTTTCTAGTTCTTTAACTGTAGATATTTTAACTGATTTATTAACATCTTCATTGTCTTCAGTTGAGATTTGCGGTAGAATAGTTGGTGTTTTTTTTCTATCTTTTTCATCTGTAGTTACAACTAAAGACTCTGGAGTATGACAGACTCGAGAGTCACTACCAGATATTCTTGTTCCAATAAGTGGTTGTTCTTCATCAGTTCTAATCTCCAATAATTCACCCATTGTCCATGTTGGTCTCCATGTATACGTTGAACTTCGACTTTTTTCAAAATTATCTCTTAATCGTCTTATACGTGACTGATAACCTACATTTAAATGAGAACCTTGAAAGATGTTTAAATGATTTGTAACACTGTTTGCACGTTGTTCATTATTCAACATATTTCCATGTTGTACAACCTTTGATTCATTTCTCTCTAAACTTGGTTGATTTGAGAAAGAATTCACATAAGGACTTGTCAATTTAAAACTTGAGCCTCTATTTCTTTTACGAGATTGATGTTCATTTGTTTGATCTGTTTGTCTAGATAATGCATCACTGTGTAGAATTGCAGAATGTGTGTGTAAAGACATACTACTACTATCATGACTTGGTGGTCTACCGTTTGTTTCAGAGGAATTGTGTCGTTTATAGATATTATAGTCATCCGTATAGTCACTGTCATCTGTCCATTCTCTGACTAATCCTGGTACACTTAATGTTTCTTGTAGTCCAATGACATTTGACTGATGTGGGCAATTATTGCTAGTATTCTCATAGGGAGGATGTTTTGTTGAAGGTGATGATGAAGTGACAGTGGCTGAACGAGCAAGTTTATATCTTATCTTATCAAGACGTCGAAGAGATTTGTTTGAATGAATTTCTGAAGTCCCTTGACTGGTCTTACTTGCATTGCTTGTTTCGCTTGAAAGGAATGGTTTACTTCGAATTACAGGTTCAGCAAGAATTTCACGACTATTCACGAGTTGATTGGTAGAAATAGGATTTAAATTTAGATCGATCAAATTACTTTCTTGATTACCTTCAACTAAGAATACTTCACTGCTGTGATGAATTTGTTGACGGCTACATGGCTTAGGCATATTCTGGTCATCTGTACTCAACTGTTTCTTCGGATGCAATATACCACTTCGATCCATGGATATAGTTGACCTTTGTGATTGTTGTTGTTGTTTTTGAAGATCTTTCGAATCTTTTCCTGTACGACCATCTTTAGCCGCTAGCGTCAACACAGTAGCTCCTAGTACACCACCACTTACTAAATGATGAAATGGATTCTGTTGATTGACACTAGCTATGCCTCCACCACCACTACTACTACTGTTAATAGGAAATAAACCGATTGGAATTTTACCGATATTTGAATGTTTCAATTTTGTTTTAGCCTCTTGCATTTCTTCTTTACGCTGTTGTTTTTCCAATTCTTTGGCAGCCTTAAACTCTTTCACATGTCTCAACTGTATCAAACCTATATAGATGAAGCAAAAAAAAGGAGAAAAGAAATGAAGTAGTCAACTTGTCTTTGTCAATTCAAAATGTAACGAAAAAGATATAAACTTGGGGGAGGGGAAACAGAAGATTGATTTTCTTCTGTCTTTTCTCATAAACTCTGAAGCCTGAAGTTTGGCTTATCAGGTATTGATATAGCAAGTGGGCAGGTGAGTAGACAAGTCTAATCCACCAGGAGATGAGTATAGATGAGAAAAGTAGATCAGTGTATCAAATTGATCAGCTTTCTAACTTCATCCTGGCTGTTGTTTCAGTGGTCACTTAGGAACAAATAAATAAAAAGGTAGATAGAGTCAGGTTACACACAATAATCCTCTGAAGATAAACCACTTCTGTGTCATCCAGTCCTAAGTCCTCAATATCATCATCAAGATTAACAAATGACCAAGCATTCTTGAGTAACGATCCAAGTTTCTACTCATCTCATATCAGCACATAAAGTAGCGAAACAATAAAATGGAAGATGGGGAAACAAAAAAAACTAGTCAAAAGATGTGGAAAGTAGTGAAAGAGAAGAAGGAGGAATGAGAAAATGATGAGATTAAGTATTGTGATTGAGATGAGGATAATGTGTGTACACATCCTCACCACTGACATCGCTTCTGAATCATATCATGCAGAATCAATCTTCAACCACTGATTTCTACTATCCCGAGGACCCCAACTGAGTAATCTGCATCTCTTTACATCGCTGAAGCTAACAGACAGTGAGTTCATGCATTGATGCAATGTTCTGGCTTGGATGCCATGAGCCTTTTTCCAGCCTGAATCTACTTCGACCAACGCTATACGACAAGGCAGACTGTGCTTAGGCATACGTGACACGTATGCTAGCCATATCAGTCGTTGAACGTTCAAAATCACATCAGCTGTCTAACCTAGTTAGGATAGTTGTTGAAAAACATATTAACTCATGTAAACATCTGGTAAAAGTTGTTTTATCAGATGATTAGTACCCACTTCCCACAAAATTCTCTACGTGTCGGTCATCTGGAAAGACATAGAATAAGTACAGAAGACTTTATGTATGTATTACCAAATATGAAAACTGTACAATATCGTACATATTTAGCTAGTCTTCTGTACGACGAAAAAATTATTGGATAGAAACTAACTAATCAACTTTTATATTTGAAAGTAAACTAATAAGGGAGTATATAGCATGTTACTACTTATCTATTATGAATCTAATTACTTATGAGATTATCTACATAAGTTATTTCTGGATTTTCAAAAAAGCTGTAGATAGAATGAATATTTTTATCTTTTCTACATGTAATTTTTACTAATTTCATTTTCTTATTTATAAATGTATAGTGTTTCTGCACAGCTGATGTTATATCACATGTTGAAAATTCTGCAGAGTCTTCCCAAAAACACTTTTCCGAATAAAGCCATTATTCCCCTTATAATCATCAGCGTAATTATTTAACTAGTATTTATCCCTGTGGTTCATAATGAAACATACGGATTCACTAGCACACCTCCATTACACTCTCTTCTCTGAAATCTTTTCAACCTGGCCCCACCACTGCCCACAACCTCTCAATTCTTCTTCACAACATCTCCTCCATATCAAACTCAACTCACACGCCAAACTCGTCACTTCCTATCTGGGTTCCACTCGAGTGCCCGGTCTAGCCCGATGCGTGATGTCCCCAATCGGCCTTCTCAGTATATGCCCAATCCCATCCATCTCCACTTACTTCCACTGAATATTTGTTGAGTGATAGCCCCTCGGTTGATTCGTTGCCTGCCTGCCAGCCAGCCAGCCAGCCAGCCAGCCAGCCAGCCACAATGAGTTCCTTGTTGCTTATTCTTAGTATTATGGCAATCCATCCAATTTTCAATAACAAGCCAGAGTAGGCCGTTGTTGATGAATATCTGCAGTTGTTTGCTGGAAATCCCTCTCGTTACGTGCCAAGTCTCTCAGCCATACAGGAGCACTGACTTGACTGAATCGGTGTTGAAAATGCTGAGTGCAGATCTCCACATTGGTTTCAGGTTAATGAATGCCTGTCTCGCTGTATTTCCGATCCTGGCTACTTTGACATCCTCGTCTGTGCCGCTGCCTGTAGTTGAAACAGTGCTGCCTAGATAGGTGGAAAGGGCTACTTCCTCTAAGTTTCTCCCGTTGGTGGTGATTTGAGCTTGTTGTTGTTGGTGGTGTTGTTGGTTGGGTATCTTCATCACCTCTACGTTCACCTGAGGTGAGTCCTGTCCTCGCTGTCTCGCCTCGCCTCGTCTCTTCTGTCAACTTGTCAGTTTTTGCCTGCAGATCTTCAAGTTTGTTTGACATTAAACACAAGTCATCGGCGAAAACCAAATCTTCCTCTGGAGTCTTTCCCCCGGTCCAGACATTGTATCCCCCTCTTCTTGCTCCTCACTGTTTGTTGCATGATCCAGTCCACTACGATCAAAAATATCGTGGGTGATAGTAGACAGCCTTGTCTTACTCCTTCCTGTTTTCACTTCAAAAGCATCACTGAGCTTCCCATTGTGAATTGCTTGGCATGTGGCGTATTCATATAGTTGTTGAATGAGATTGATGAAGGTTAGCGGTATTCCATAGTGTTGAAGCAGCTGCCATTATTACTGTTTTTACTATTATTATTATTATTATTATTATTATTATTATTATTATTATTAGTAGTAGTAGTAGTAGTAGTAGTAGTAGTAGTAGAGTTAGTAATGTAGTCGGCCTTGCTGGATATAAGTAGTGCATGTTTCGAGGGCGGAAGAAATCATAGGGAATCACCAGCAATGTGTAAGGATTCTACCAAGAGAAACGCAAGGCAGTACGCGAGCGTATGGAGAGCAAATGAAGAGAGAAGCAGAGGAGGAAATGAAGTACATTATGCAAATGACTTTCTTAGTGCAAGAAGTGCCATGTTCAACGACTACTGTACCATTTGTTAACAGTACACACTCCTTTCATCCTCCGTGCCTGTCTCCTCGTTTCCTTCTAATTGGTGTCGCTGCTTTTGGCCATTAGGAAGATTCAGTGGCCTGCATTGTTTAAGGATGGAGATATCAATGTCTTCCCCAGGGACTTGGAGTCGGTCGTGGAGCTGGTGGGATTCCGGGATCCAGGAGCGAAGGTTGTGGTGCTTGGCACGTTGCTGAAGGGTAGAGCGTAAGCAGTATATGGTGCCGTGGAACGTGGAGATGGGAAGGAGACGTGACAGAATCCTTACCCATTCCCGGTAGTTGTCTATAATTTTTGCTGCCCTCTCAGTATATACTACTTATATCCATTGATATCAACAACGCCCACTACAGTAGTAGTAAAATAATTCTGGGTTAAACAAGAACAACCAATATAACTTAACCATAACTGTCATCTGAGGTCAATCAGACTGTCTGAACAAAGAAATGTTAATCGCAACAAGGTGGTTAGACCTTAGGAAGATAATGAATTTAGAGAAAACCTGGGCTATTGCTACACATGCACCGCACACAACCACATAGTAGAACTAGATAGAGTAACAGTTAAGTAAAGCATCTTATTTAGGTGGAAGGATAGGTTGTAATGATATCTTTGCTCATCTAGTCAATGCTAAGTGCATGCAGTAGGACTAATTCAGCATCTGTTTCATCAGCAAAAAGAATTCTACTATGCTTATCGCAAAACTCAAGAGAATTGCAAATATACAATCTGTGAATCTAGGTTATTGAGTTATCTTCACGTGAATGTGAGCAAGAAATTGGACAGGAAACATTATTTGATAAATACAGAGATGATCAACGTTAGATCGAGTACAAAAAAGAATCTGGTGAAGTTGTCACTCTTTACAGTAGTATTCAGCAGTATTCATGTCATTTTGTGGTACCC